TAATCCTCTGTGAAGTCATTTTCTGAAAACCTTTTGTTTAAGTTTTCAGGCAATTCATTATCAAATAAAAATCACACTTTAGTATGAAGGTATGTTAAGATGCCATGTCTCTAGTCTGTTGAAAAATTCGATGTGATAATCTGACCTAATTTTTCTGTTTAATATTGTGAAAACTTCTTCAATACTGTTGAAAGATCATGTCTGCCTATAACTGTATCACATTTATCGGTGCACAGCGTTAAATATCTTTGCAAAACGGACACCTTCTTTACAAAATAATCTGTAGTTGTATCATGAGTAAATTTAAAGTTTTTTAATGGAGAACAATGATACTTAAGTGCAAATATAGAAAATACATTCCATAGACCTTTTCTCATCGGCTAAAGAAATGCAATACAACAAAATCAGAGGTAAAGTTTCGCGGCGCTGAACATAAAATGACTAAACGGAACGCATAACCTACTTGCAAAAATATATTGTAGCTTAACCATTTATAATATAATTTTAAAAATTTAATGTTCAGTTTCAAAATAATAAAGCTCAATCTGTTCTCACCGATTTATTAAGAAAATGAATACAATAAAATCGGCACGTAAAAGACATAAGTAATAACGGAATTGACGGAAATTATTGCTAATTACAAGTAACAAAGTAGGCATGCAATTTGCGCATAGCTCTCTTCGATAGCAAGAGACATTTTCAAAATTTGTAATTCTTTTCTTTTTTTTTTTTTTTTTTTTTTTAAAAAAGGTCATTCCTGATTAATACTAGTACAGGGTCCAGGAGAGGTTACACTGGAATCAAAAATAGTAATCACTCCCATTTCGAACTCACGGGAACAATTTAAGAAGTATGCTAAGGCAACACTGGAACACGTTGTCATATGGGTGTGCGATCACGTGTTTCAATGTATATTGCATTTGATACAGCTTTTCGGAATTTGTAGATGCTTATGATAGGTACTTAAATGCGACTGAAAAATGCAGTCTTAATAGAATTGTTTTTCATTTTCATTTTTATGGAACCAATGAGTGACCTCTGCTTTTGACTTATGTTGTTAACAAGAAATGTTGTTGGACGTTATTAGCATACCTAGCACATTATTTAAATAGTTTAAAACCAATATGCAGCCTGCAATGAAAATACAACTGCGTCGTATCATATTTTATTTTGAACTGCGTCGTATCATTTCGTAAAAATCATTATTTCCTAAGAAAATAAACATCTCTTTTTAATGAAAATTTAGTACATGATGCAAAATTATGTTTTGAAGTTTATGGTGAACTCTGAAAACGAGTATATAATTGATTTGAAGGAGAAACGATAGATAAAGCAATATGAACTGCGTCGTATCCACACATTTTCATAAAAATTCTGCTCCGCTTCGAGTTGCAAGTTCGCTATAACTTTTGTTTAACAAAATAGATGTCTAAGCAACATATACCGAACGAAGCGGAAAATAGTGTAGCGTGTTAATACATATATCTGGTTTTCAGTCATTTCCAACAAAAAGAGTTATAAACAAAAACATACATTTTTCGTTCCAAGATGGCGGCGTTTGTTTACATTTTGTAGGATACGACGCAGTTTTGATTCCCAGCCCTGATTAATGAACTTTGACAAATGTTAAATTTTCGTTTTCATTTTAGGATTGTTTAAAGTTGATACTCGGAACTTAAAATTATACCACGTAAACATATTCAGAACTTTAAAATAAACATGTTTAATTTGTACAAGATGTCACAATCATATCAACCCATTACGCGATATACACGCCTTTCAACGCCTTTTTCACCCCACCCCCTTATTGTTGTCTTTAATGGTGAAAAAATGCCTTATTTTGGACCCCAACACTTGTTTTTGTTTGAGAAATGTTGTTAAAAAGTGACCTCTTTTTCGGCGCGACCCCCTACCAAAAGATACATCAGGGGGTTGCCAGAAGGGGTGTGTGCCCACTTCTGTTTAGGGGGTTTGAAGGAGGACGGTAGTCCCCCTCATCGTCAAGAAAATTTTGGACTTGTGAGAGGCTCAAAATGACCCCAGATTGATCATAAGATAACGTGTAACCTAAAGCATTTGACTCTACTTCAATCCATTGAGAAGTTGCAGCACTTTGGAATCAATTTTGACGGAAAATAGTGATTTTTGGCCAATTTTGAGATGTCATCTGGTTGCCATGGTAACAGAAAACTTAAGCCTGAGCATGTTGTTGCAAGGGCAATGGTCCAGTCAACATTTGTGCCAAGTTTGATTAGTATTGAAGCAGTTTTTTTATAGTAGTATAAATTTGAACTTGTAACGGGAGACTTTTCAATGAAAACAGCCATTTTTCACAAAATGCTCATGAAGTAATGGGTTAAGATATGGAGATAAACCATAGTGAAAGGTTCTATATACATGTGATGAAGAAGTCTGTCATTATAAAATGGGTGTAAGGACGTATTCCCTTTCGGACAAAATCACATTCGCATATCCGGACATAATCCCCTCTATGAGCGGACATAATCCCCTTACCTACTCGGACAAAATCCCCTTGTTTCATAGGTTTTTTAAATGTTGAATTCTGCTTAAGCCGGTGCTAGGGGGCGTGGAGGTAGTTTGCACTTTACAGTACCGTCCATGAACAGGCTCAATCAAACCGAGCCTGCAACATTTTCAATTATGTTGAGTTGGATTTTGTTTAAGGATTCTTGCCTCCTCTCTTTTATCGCCACATCAACGTTATTTGTGCCGTGTGGAGGCTGTAAAAAGTCGCCCCGTACATTCAATCATAGACGTTATATTTCCGATCCTCAAAGATCGTTCAGCACCACACAATTGTTGTGCTTGTGTTAATTTAGTTATTTCTATCTGGCGTTTTTCTTGTTGGATGGTTCCAGTATTCCTCACATGAATACTGTTGAATCACCCTTAGGATATGTGGCCTGCTTTTTAAATTTGTCTTTTGACGTATTATCTGTGATATGAAGGCTTCATAACCTCTGCTACCCTTTTTAAATTTCATTTGTTTGATTCCGCCCATTGTTTTCTCGTTTACGGCACACGCATTTTTTTACTTGGGGACCATATGCTGCTTTTCATGGAATGCCACTTAGTGAAGGTTCCATGATAACCGCCATATGAACACATCTGCAGATGTTTCAAAATTCAAAATTGTACCAATTCATTTTAAATGTTGAATTCTGCTTAAGCCGGTGCAAGGGGGCGTGGACGGTAGTTTGCACTTTACAGTATCGTCCATGAACAGGCTCAATCAAACCGAGCCGGCAACATGTTCAATTATGTTGTGTTGGACATTCTTTAGGGATTCTTGCTTTCTATGTCCTAATGTATTATTATGTTCCATAAATTTGATTAATAATGTATTCAAATGATGTGTAAGTTGTAAATTTTGGGCATTCGAATCATTTTTGTCAAATATATTTACGGACAACATTGAATTTCTTATACAGAACATTTTTGTGGTTATGCTATTATAAGAATAGTTAGAAGATGAAAAAAATAACCTACCTACCTACCTACCTACCAAGACTTCTTTCTTGTCGTCCTAGCTGTATCTAGCGAAGCACACAAAACGGCGCGTTGTCGCGTGGCGCGTTATCGTGATGTTGTCCTGTCGCTTTGCTTTTAAGCCAATCCTTCGATTTGAACCGAGCGACAATGTGACATCGCGACAACACGTCGCACGACAAAGCGCTGATTGGAGTGCATCGTTAGCAACAGGGCGACAAGACAGAAGTCCGACAACGCGCCGTTTGGCGCTTTGTTTGATTCCCTAGCGACAACTAGACGCACAAAAGCGTACCAAATCAGCCACCATAACTTGTATGCAAACCGATTCGTGTTTCGCGAATCATCGTCTCACATCTTGCCCCTATTACAAATTGGATAGAAATTTAAAACAATGTCACCGCTTGTTGCACTTTTAAATGCTTAGGTTTCTTTCGAATCATTTACCTTGTTTGTTTGTTTTTTGTTGTTTTTTGTTTGTTTGTTTTTTTTGTCAATCAACAAAACAAAAAATAATAATACAAACATGGCAAAGAAGTAAATAAGGAAGATAACTGATTGAAATTTCAGCATTTTTGCTATAACAAAAATGACTAGATTAAATAAAGAATATCTGTTGTCGCTACACATTAGGGCCTGAAAATTTAGAATACTAGGAAATCTTGAATAATAATTACTGATATACCTGTGTCTTTCATGATTGGGCCATTCATATAATTTAAATTAAAAAGGTGTTAATATTAAAGCAAGAGGCGGGAGATGTTTGATTGAAGGCATGTTTGATGGAAGGCGTGTTATCTCACCATGTCTGTATTGAATTTACAATAACGAGAACTTTTTGAAAGTTATATATTATACATTAGCCATAGAATAGGGGCGGCTTGTGGTGGGGATGGAAGGTGAGAAGAATGACAGACTTGTATGAAAATGTTAACTAATGGTTACTTGACACGCCATCAACATCTGGGTGAAATAGAAACTATATATAGTGAGGATATATAGACATACACGGGTGTTGAAAGAGGAGAAGTGAAAAAAAATATGAAGGCTTTAGGATGCTTATTGGTAAGTACTAAGTCTTTTCTATTTTCTTTTTAGTGGGGTGACAGCATACTTTTATTTAATCAATGGTATGCTGAGAATAATCCAATAACAGGAACTACTATAATTAATGATTCAAATTAAAACTAATGTATTCAATACTAATTTTAATTAATTTCACTGTTGTATTACGCAAAGTTTGCAGTTGTATACGGTTGCATAAATGGAACATATTTACAATGTACTATGTGGGCACTCAATAGCTAATACGTGGCCACGCGATTTTAAATAGGTGAATAATATGTTGCTCACTGAATTGATAAGCGCATTCTCATTGGTAACTAACAGTCTTCTTACAGTATTTTTACATTTTTTCACTGTTGATTCTTTTACTTTAAAAGTGCATAATATAAGTGACCATTGGTATTTATCAATTTATTTTTGATTTTGATCGTTGGTGAGGTTTTCATCTATTTACGTTGATGTGATACCAAAATCTTAAATGAAAAAAAAATGAAGTAGAGCTTCACTTGATATTGTTTACTGCTATCATAACATTTCTTCCATGCTATCACTAAAAAAAATTAAAAATTTAATGCAATTGACCATGCAATACTTTAAAGCACGAATAGAACAAAGTGTAATAAAATGTATAGAAGTATACGAAGCATTTATGACAAAGTGGTGAATGTCGTTCAAATCGATTAACATGTTCCTAGCCTCAATCCCTTTTAAAGAGGTTATATATTTATTTATTCAGATCTACATTTATGCCCTTGTGCAAGTTAAATTTGTGCCTGAAATAATAGCTGATTTGGTGCCGAAATTCTGGCTTGCATTTAAAATTAAATATCTGTCAACCAAATAAGTTCAAATAATTATATGAATATGGAGCCTTTATAAATGGACATACAAATTATTCTATGGTATAAAATCGATTTGGTGAAATATCATGATATCAGTTTGAAAAAGTAAATATTCTTAAAAAATGTCTGTTTGTTTCTAACGATCTTTAATATACGGACATTTGGCATTTTTGATTGAAAATTAGTTTATAACAAAATTATCATTTCCTAGATAAAATTCAGAGAAACTATTAGTCACGGTGCATATCCCTATCGGTACCCTCTTAAAACGGTATAATTAAGGTCAGTCTCTGCTGAAAATACACCAATCTAGTAAATGTTCACTCTTCTGATGAAAGGTTGTATGTCCAGTGAAAAAGAATGATACCACGGAATACAAAGGAATTTGAAGGAATTTGTAGCGGACGATATAAATTTTATTGTATTGATTTATTGATGATTAATTGGGAATTGGTAAAAGTTATAAAAATGGTGTATAATTGACTCTCATACAGTAATATTTCAGAGGAACAGAAAAGAAATTAAACTTTACACTATACAAGGAATTACAGTATATTATAGAATGAACATATATTGCTGCAGAAAAAACAAAGATTTTACATTTTGAACATTATAAATACAAATACTTATTTATATTACAAATGTGGAACAGGTGTAAATTGTTAGCGTACAAAATTGCCGTAAAACTTGCGTCCTTCCAAGTACCGGTTTAGCCGGTGCAGGGGGTAGGGATTTGAGTGTGTGAGATTTTTTTCAAGCTTAAACAGATTCAATCAAATCGAGTCTGTAAGTTTTATCTTCTAATTTAATCGTTTCATATCCCTCGAGAAATCTACTTTTTTTCTTCTTTTTTTTCGCGGAATGATTTAATACTTTGGTTTTATGCAGGTTTTAATAATTTTACTTCTACAAGATGTTGATGCTGGCTATACTAGAAACGTTTTATCCAATGGGAATTGTCACGGCAACTTAAACGTAAGTACAAGATTTGGGAGTTACATATTTGTTACACTACAATGTTCACGAGACCTTGACTAGTGAAATAAAAACCATAACGGTTGCTTGGAACATTAATAACATTGATATTTTAAACGTTTACAAAACATAATTATGTTAATGTTTCTATGATTCTATAATTGTGCTTACGTAGAATTTTATTACATTTCTTTCTCGAATTACTTGTATACATGTATATACCAAAGTACATTTCATTCTTTCATGTCTATCAACCATCAAATTAAAGGTCTTGTCAATACTTACAATATCGCAATCGATATTGTCCGGCAATTATTTCGTTATCCACCCTTTGATATGCATTTATCCTGTGTCCTTGTACGTTCTATTTATCTTGTCTAGTAGAGTCCATTAAACAATATAAATAATTAGGAGCACAATAGGTCAGAAACAAATGAAATTTACTTTTTTAGAAATAGCAAACATTAGTTTTAAAACGTTGAGCATGTTCGATGTTATTTCCTGGAGAAAGCAGTGCTAAGTAAATGTAAACAAAGCAGTATTTCGGCTTCAATACTAAATACAAAATTACCATTACTAAATAACTGCCAAGAAGCAACAGGAGAAAAAGATAGTTTAGGTAATGTTTTGGTCACTATAAACTCGGACCAAAATTGAAAAGCTTTCGAAAAAATATTATCATTATTATTATTATTATTATTTATTTATTTGGGGGGGGGGGGGGGCTTAATGGGCCTTAAAGGAGTCCAGTTAGTAAATGATATCTCACAACGATGCTGTAAAATCACACAATACCAAATAAGGGAAGTGATATCATGTTAACCATTCAAGAAAACATAAACGTTTTTAAATTTCATTTCCTAATTTTGAAGCCAAAAAAAAAAAAAAAAAAAAAAAAAAAACACCAACAAACCAAGAACATCAACAACAACTTAAACTATGAAAAGACACGCGTTTTCCCTTTAATCGGTTAGGTTTGGAACAAGTCTTGATAAGTTCCCGACAGAGCTGAACACAACTGGGTCGGGATTTTCTTCTACATACATGCAGCCTCTAAGAAGTTAACATTCATGAAGTATTTATAAATTGCATATCATTACATCATTTCCAGAATTGTCCAAGCAATGAAATCTGTGCATCGGGTGAAAATTGTATTGTCACTCACGTACTATGTATAGACAGATGTTTTCCTTGTGAGTATGACATTTATCTATACACTTGTTTCCATTGTGACAATTAAGTAATTACTACATTATGTTAGCATATTTG